TTTGTTATGTTACCTACATTTTAGTATGTTTAACATAACATTGTTAAACTTCCTATAGTCAATTGAGCAACCTGCAATCCTTGATTATTTAATTTTATTATTCATACCAAAATTATTTACCTTGCATCTAAATTTCACTAAATCACATAGTATGCTTCGAAAAATTTCTTTTCATAGCCTTGTACTATGTCTTCGATTCATGTTGCTCCTTGATCTAATGGAGGTTTTTCGTGCTTGGAGGGACCCAGACCCGTGTATGGTGTGAATTTTTTACTCTATACAGTTGGATTCTGGGCCCTTCTTCGCCCCTCTACCATCTATGGGCGTTTATGCCGACTGGTGCTCTGATATGCTGCCTCGAGCAGCGATATAAATGAGCGCTTCTTGGCCATGGTCGCTCAAAACTCTTCTATTTCCTGGGTCTATAATTCTTCTTTATCACTATGAATAACCTATATACTCTCTTTTCTTTATCTATTCTTTATAATATTTTTCTCTTTTTGTCAAAGAGTAACCTATCAGTATGAGCGAAGTGTTTTAAGCCCCGCTCTAATAAATTAATTCTGCTCAATTTGAGTGTGTCTTTCGAGCTTTATGTTAATGAGCTTTATTTTTAACGGCAGTTTTCCACTGGTACACCCAGAATCCAGTTTTAATAGCCTATGTTTTCTGTCTCAACCCTCAGTCGGGTTATTCATACTAGACACGAATGTGCTTTTCGCTGCGCTTAAACAAATTTTTATAATCTCAATTAAAGAAAATCTTAACAGAAAGTACTCTGTCGTATTGCTTCTATAGTGCCGTGTTTTTTTCTCCAAGTGTCCTTGCGCGCCTGGTGTCATCCTGTTGCTGTGGGGGCCGTGTCTCCTGTTTGGTCGCGGCGGCTGGAGGTGTCAGCTAGCTCAGCTGCTTGTCCATGCTACTGGTCGCTTAGGTTGGCCACGTGTCCCTCTTCAGCGGTGTCACACCTGGCGTCTGCGGGACTGCCTGGTTTTGTGCGGGTGTGCGGTTGCTACACTGACCCACACCTCTCCAGTTAATTTGGTAACGTGCCTTTCTTCTCTACTAACCAAATACTAATTATTCCGACTTCTCAGCCTTGAAATAACTTTCGCTGCGTATTACCTGTGATGATATACTGCGCTCTTCACCATGGATCTGTCTGCCGCTATGTGTCCCCACACCAATTTTTGGATTCATATCGAATGATGGCTAAATGGCCATTACTCATGCTGCTTCTGGACGCAACGTGTGACCCAGATTGTACACATTACTGTCATCTCGTCTGCAGTTTGGAAATCATCTTGGTGACCTGTTCCAATCACCTATTTTGTTATATGGCAGGGCTGCTGTCTTCCTGTTGGATGTTGCTGCAACGCGGGACAAATATAGATTTATTGCGGATATATTTATCCCAACGATACTTCTCAAACGCCTTGATGCAGGAAATTCGGACCCAACCTCGCTACAAATAGACAAACATTTATACAGTAAATATTACAAATTACTTAAATCAATCATCCATAACCATACACAACATTCATAACTGCATTTAAATACCGCAATACATAATAACTAATTCATTTTTCATACAAGTATATCATCGGCTATATAACCTTTTTATTTTCACCACATAATCAAAACATAAACAAAATATATTGGCTTTTAAATTCACATACAAATTAATTCACCTAATTTTTAATCTTATCACAATAATCATCTGCCTGGAGCCCGGATCTCTCATCCCTGCAACCAATGTTCGCAAAATTATGGACACACGCGACCTCGGAAGGGACGCCCATACTCCTTACACTTGGTGTTACATCCTCCTCCATTAATTCCTGACGTTCGCAAATTTATTAACGCATCATGGTCTGGACAATTCGTCGACATTTCTGCTTCTCGTTAGTTAAAAAAAAAAAACCTACAAAGTAAATATTAATTTGCTTATAAATTACTTACACTATTTTACATACTATAATTAATATCATATTACCTTATACAACTTTACATTTAAACTCATACATTTATACAATCAAAACGCATATTTACAAAATCTCATCACGTAATAGAAACACACATTTACACAACTCATCACATTTACACAATGCATCACTTCATAAAATACAAACCACAATAACTAACTTAAACCAACACTCTGTAATTGATAAACCAGTCACACATTTAATAACTATTTATATCTCCCGCTAAAACCTACAAAGCAAACATAAATTTGCTCATAAATTATTTACATTAATACACATACCATAATTAATACTATATTATTTCACACAATTCTACAATTTAAAATTTATACACCTAATTAAATCGTATACTTACATAACTTCATAGAAACACACATTTACACAACTCATCACATTTACACAATGCATCACTTCATGAAATACAAACCACAATAACTAACTTAAACCAACACCCTGTAATTGATAAACCAGTCACACATTTAATAACTATTTATATCTCCTGCTAAAACCTACAAAGCAAACATAAATTTGCTTATAAATTATTTACATTAATACACATACCATAATTAATACTATATTATTTCACACAATTCTACAATTTAAAATTTATACACCTAATTAAATCGTATATTTACATAACTTCATCACTCAATGGAAACGCATATTTACACAAGTCCACATTTTATAAATTTGAAACCACAAAAAATTAACTTAAAACAAAACACACTATAATTTACAAACTAGTCACCAATTTAATTACTTATTTACATTCCCCGAAAAAATTTACAAAGCAATTATAATTTTGCCTATAAAATCTACATACTATAATAAACACTATATCATCTCCACACAACTTCACAATTAATTACATGCATCTAATCAAAACACACATTAAATAAAATTCCATCATCGAATAATAAATTACACACACTTAACGAAATCACACATCTACACATTTCTTCATTTCATAAATTTAAATACCACAATAACTAACTCATAATAATCGCATTTCATTTAATAAACTTGTCAAGCCAATATAATAATAATAATCTTTAGTTCCATAATTCATTATAACAATAGCCCATAATACCATAAAACAAGCCTTATAAATATTATAAAAATACAACAAAATTCCTTAATAACGCACATCATAAATCAATCATTAATCCATAAATTTTTCAAACCACTTAAAGTAAACAATAATATAAATAATTCATTTATACGCACATCATTTTGTTAATCCTGTCGCACTGGGTCCTGGACTCCTACCCTACACACACATCATTCCGTCTACACACACTTCTCTGCACACATTGCTACACTCATGCCGATTCACACCTTATAATATACTCATCATCAAACAGCACACTCTACCACAAATCACACATCTCTATTGTTTCTTTGGATTTATCCTCGATATAACTAAACACTAATTAGTTCTTCATTTTACTTCCCAAACTTTAATAATGGACTAACTGGCGGCTTCTCACAAGATCGTTTCTATTGGCACAATCATCCCCGGACTTGGACATCATTCAGCCTCGGAACTTCTGCAGCACTAACTTAGAATCTACTTTAATTTATAAACATTGTTCCATTGTCATAGTCTATAAGCCCACATTTATTGTTACTAGCAACGTATACATACATATTATTTTGTTAAACTTACACCTCACACTTAAAAAAAGCCTGAGCCTACACGCATTTCAAAATATTGTCTTATATAATTTTCAAAATGAAACAATTTAATTTTTTCATTTCAATGTAATAGCTTTTATTTTTTACTTTATAAACTACATTTACTATTCTTAAGTCCAAAAATTTTGTCTTATATATTTTGTTAAAATTCTTTAAAAATATCACATTTACTTATCACACTAAATTTAAATATTGCACATCATATCACACAAAGTTAATTATTTTTTATATACCTTTTATACCACTATATGTACAACATTCACAATTTAACTTGCATTTGCTTATCACATTATATTGCACACCATATCACATAAACTTAATTATATATATACTATATTATACTACTATTGCACAACATTCATAAATCTAACATGTACTGCTTATCACATAGTAATCATATATTGCACACTGTATCATTTAAATTTAACTACATTTATACTATACTATTATGCAACTATGTACAACACTCACAAATTTAACCTACCATTTGGTGCCCCCAAGAGGGAAGGGGTACCTAATCATCACTGCTTCGGATTCTCCCCGCATTCCCTCCACTCTTTTAAAAGGGAAGGATTAAGACAAATTTAAATGTCGCTGCCTCCTATCACTGCACACTCTTGGCTGAAATTGGGATTAGTATTTAATTTTAGATTAAGTTTGTTGTACCCATTTCTCGGCCTTGTGCGCCATAATAAACGATATAAAAAAAAAAAAGCTGCGCTTAAACAAATTTTTATAATCTCAATTAAAGAAAATCTTAACAGAAAGTACTCTGTCGTATTGCTTCTATAGTGCCGTGTTTTTTTCTCCAAGTGTCCTTGCGCGCCTGGTGTCATCCTGTTGCTGTGGGGGCCGTGTCTCCTGTTTGGTCGCGGCGGCTGGAGGTGTCAGCTAGCTCAGCTGCTTGTCCATGCTGCTGGTCGCTTAGGCTGGCCACGTGTCCCTTTTCAACAGTATTACACTAGTGTTGGTAGGATTGCATGGGTGTGAGTGCGTGCCTATACTGTCATTACGTGTTTTCGATTTGACCTTGATTTGTCTTGACCTATTGTGTCTTGACCTTCATCTATCTTGACCTTCATTTGTCTCATTAATTTTTCATTCTTATTTATTTTCATTCTTATTTATTTTCATTCTTATTCATTAATTTTTATTTATTTTTCAAATTTTTCACAGCTTTTCCACAGCTTTGACAAAAATTTTTTTTGACTTTCTGTCTGATCTTGTGCATTGGCTGCCCGTGCGTTTGAACTTTCCCCTGCCTGGTTATTCTGGCCGTGTCGATTTTCTGGCTGCTGCAGTGCGTGGGATGCTGGATTTGTTTCTCCTTTGTGGGTCAGGTCTGGTAAGTTCGCGCTGTTTGTGGCCATACTTCTGCACGTGCTTGGGCCCGGTGGTGGATTTTCTTCTTGTGTGGTGTGGCCCTTAGCATTAAGGTTAGTACTACAGTGTCATCCTTGTTTTTGCAAATTTAATTATCCGATGAATAACTCGACTCTAAGCTTTGACCATTAAATAAATTTCTTCTATACTAATCTCCATACTTTTTCCTTTTTCTAAAGATGAATCAAGATAGATCCAAGTTAACGGCGGCTAAGCCTAAAAGAAGTCCAAAGGGGCCTCCCTTGGTTACTTCTAATGTCCTCTTGTGTGCCGGAAGTTCCAAGCCCACTTCACTTTCACCATCTCCAAAGAAGGACACTAGTAAACATGAACCTTCTAGTTCTACTCCAAAGAAGGTTTTTCACCCAGTTATTAATTCCACAACCGTGGTTCGGCGTTCAGGTGATCTCCATATTCCCGTCAAGCCCTATAATCCATCTGTGGAGGAGGCGGCAAACCTGGGTAGCAACACGGCATCGATTTATAAGCGTGCCAATGCACCCCATACTTCGCCAAAAACACGACGCGTCCGTTCCAGTGCTGCTGTGCGACGTACCTCTGCCTCGGCAAGGGCCGCTCAGCACGACACTCAAAGGCGCGATGCCCAGGATCAAACCAGGCCAGACCTCATTGAATTGGAAAGTGACGAGGGAGACCTTGACAGTGACTCGTCCCATATGGAAGGCTCGAGTGCTCCTCCTACTACACCACCAAACCAGCATACTTCTATACAAAATGAAGTTGCGGAGCCTACTCCCTCACAGTCCGACTTGGAGAACCAGGGTAAGCCAAATTTTGCTCTTATTTTCTCTGGAAAGCCCCCACCCATTCAGGTAGAATGCGATGATGCCTCAATATTGCTCACTTCCTTATCAAATGTGGTATTGCCGACCATGTTTCTTTTAAAAATGGGCACTTTGGGCAATGTTTGGGTGCACTCCAAGGCTCCTGACGAATACAGGAAAATTATTCATTTTCTTGATGCTAATGATTTTCGGTATCACACCCATCAGCCAAAAGAACTCAGGCCCCTTCGTGTGTACGTCAGAGGCTTACCGCGTGCTACCCCTCCTAAACATATAATTGACTCGTTAACTGATCAGGGTTTTGATATAGTGAGTGTTCACAACCCTACCTTTGTTGACAAACGCAAACCTGATCAGGCTGTGAAATTCTCTCCAAATGCAGTTTTTTGTTAATCTCCTTAACACTCCCAAAAACGAGAGAATTTTCCAAATCAAGAACATTGGTAACTATATTGTCCGTGTTGAGGCAACAAACAAAAATCTTGATATACCGCAGTGTAAGCGATGTCAACGCTTTGAACACACCGCAAAATTTTGCAAACATAATCCCAAGTGTGTTAAATGTGGGAATGACCACTTGTCAGCCACCTGCACAAAACACATTGATACACTTCCCACATGTGCTAATTGCAATGGCTCTCATACAGCCAATTATTCTGGTTGCCCTATTTTAGCGGCACTAAAAGCCAGACGTAACAAATTCCATCAGCTTCCGGCTCGAACTCGTGCACTGCAACTTGCATCAGCTCCACTTAGACAGGCCGATTTTCCTCCTCCGCCCAATCCATCAAAGGCCAGGCAAAATATTGAAACAGCAGATGGATCTTTCAATACGGAATTTACTAATTTCGTTAAAAAAAACCCTACTCCACCAGCAGAAGGCAGCCTTAAAAAGCCGGTAGCGCAGCCTACAACATATGCCGACATGGTACGCTCCCTTAGTACCAAACATATTCTTGCGGATATTCCGTCCCAATGGCAAGGGGAAAAAATTCCAAGAATACTGGGAAAAACTGCAAATATCCCTTCAACTTCACAAACGGTACGCTCTCAGCAAATCCCCACAGTCCTCAAACCAGAGAGACGGTCTCCCAAACCGAGTCTCCTACTACAAACTTCTTAAATCTTCCTGAAAAAGAATTCAGAACTTACGTTTCGAACAGCTTTTGATTACATGCAGTATCAAATTACCTGCTTTCAAAATCAGCTAAAGGCCTCCTTTGCCAGGATGGAGCAGCTGGTTCTCTCGCTTTCCAATCACAATGAATAACACAATCAGATTGTCAATTTGGAATTCAAACGGCATTCCGCCGCAAGTTCCACGATATTGAACTTTTTCTTATAAGCAACAATATTGACATTATGTTAATTTCGGAGATTAAACTCTCCTCCTAACATTACAACTTCGATTCCTGGCTATGATCTTCTTTTCGCTTTTAACCAAAATACTCGGTCTGCTGCTGGTGGTTCGGCTATCATTATTCTCTAATAAAATTCCTTATCAGCCTCTCCCTCCAATTTCGGAAGAGCACTTCTCACATTTGCCGCATTGTAATAAATACTTACATCGGTTTTATCACTATTGCCTCCTGCTATTGGCCACCTAATCAATTGGTTTCACATTTGTTTTTCTCAACACTTTTTAACCAACTTGGCGACAAATTTTTCATTGGAGGCGACTGGAACTGCCAAACACCGATTGTGGGGCAACTTTCGAAGCTGCCCGCGCGGCTCATGCTTTAGCTGACATTATTCTATCTTCTGAAAGATTAAATATTCTTTCTACAGCCGAGCCCACTCATTTTCCACGTAGTGGCGCTACACCGTCTGTATTGGATTTTGCTGTAACTCGAGATATTCCACATTCCTTAATGAGCATCAGTAGGCACTTTGATTTAACAAGTGATCACCTCCCACTCATCGCCACTTTAAAATTTGGATTAGTCATCAATATCTCTCCCCCCAGATACTGATCTAACTGCAAACTCGAAACTTTTCACAAAAAATACCAATGTTAAAAACTTCAAAACTCTTCTCAATAATTGTATCCATTTAAATATGGACATCAATACAATTAATGATATAGAGGATGCAATTAACATTTTTACAGCAAAAATTCGTTCTTGTGCCATCGCAGCCACACCGACTTATAGCCCGTTCCCTTCTCATCAAATATTTTATCGGCCTCCTTTAAAAGCCGAAGCCCTCGAGCTGGCTCGCCTAAAACGTCAATTGAGAAAACTTTATACTCGCTCTCGATCTCCAGTTCACAAATCGGATTGGCTATTTGTTTCACGCATACTTTCCAACTTCCTTAGACGAATTCGAGCGGATCACTTTAATTTTATTTTACAAAACGCCGATCCGTCCAAAAAAGGTGGTTTTAACCTGTGGCGCGCCACTAAACACCTTAAAACACAGCCTCATATGGTCGCTCCTATTAAGGATGCCGCTGGCAATTGGTGCACTGCGCCCTTGGAAGTTGCCGAGGCTTTTGCTAACGAATTGGAAGCTCGCTTCACTCCACTAGATTTTGCCTCTAGTGCGCAAACAGAACATGTATTAAATACAATCGATGATAACTCTGCTGTAACTGCATCACCCGTTCCCATCCGTCATGTCAGTCCGTCTGAATTAACAAATCACATAGCAAGTTTAAAGATCAAAAAAGCCCCCGGCTTAGATAATATTACTAACCAAATTTTACGTTGCCTGCCTCAAAGGGCTATCATGTTTTTAGTTAAACTCTTTAACGTTATGCTGAGGCTGCGATATTTTCCATCATGCTGGAAATGCGCAGCTGTTACCATGATACCCAAGTCTGGTCGTTCCCTAAGTCAATTAAAAGACTATAGACCTATTAGTTTACTACCCGCTCTTTCCAAACTATTCGAAATTGTCATGTCCGTCCGATTATACGATATTCTTGATTTTAGTAATACTATACCTGATCACCAGTTTGGCTTCCGTAAGGAGCATAGTACTATCCAGCAAGTACATCGCATTGTGAATCATGTTCATTGTACTTTTGACCGTTACCAATATACCTCGGCTGTTTTTCTTGATATTGAACAGGCATTCGATCGTGTGTGGCATAGCGGCCTTCTATTTAAACTAAAAGCGATATTGCCCCAATCATTATACGAGCTTTTCGTTTCCTATTTATCAAATCGCTCCTTCTGTGTTAAAGAGAGGGGTAGCTTTTCATCTGTACGTCAAATTCGAGCCGGTGTCCCGCAGGGAAGCATCCTCGCACCTACCCTCTATAATGTCTTTGTTAGTGACATGCCAACTCCGCAACTTCCTAGACTTTGTCGTAGTAGATCACTCATTGCCACATATGCGGATGATACTGCAATATTATTCAGCGACGCTAATGCTTCTGTATGCGTCAGTCTAATGAATAATTTCCTCGTCACCTTTTCCAACTGGGCAAGGATCTTGGAATATCAAGATAAACTGTAGGAAATCATCCCACATGCACTTTACATGGCGGAATCTCCGTATGTCCGACGTAAGATTAGATAATGTAGTCATACCATTGAAATCATCAGTCGTATATCTGGGCTTAAAACTAGATAGAAAACTATTATGGAACAGTCATATTGGTACTATTAGATCGTCACTTATAACTAAAGTACGTAAATATAATTGGCTTCTAAACTCACGTTCTCGCCTCAGCATTCGAAATAAATTGCTTATTTATAATCAGATTATTGCGCCATCATACAAATATGGAATTGAACTATGGGGCTGTGCCGCAGATGTTCATATTAGAAAAATTCAAACTATACAAAATTCTACTTTACGTCGCTGTACAAACGCTACTCCATTCGTGAGAAACTCCGATATTCATAATGCTTTTAACATTGCTACGGTTTGGGATCAAATTAATCTCCATGCGAGCAGATATAAGGAAAAAATTCGTACGCATGAAAATGTCCTCGTTCGGGGATTACTTTCTTTAGCACCTGGTAATGGTCCACCAAATCGCTATCGACCTAAGAATTTATCAGACAGAGTCCCTCCACCCAATGTTTTCCAATAAATTCTCTATATCAGTCATTTCCTATTATATTTATACTCTTATTATGCATTAAGCATACATATATGGTATAATTACATCTATACGTTTATTTAATTACATGAAATTTTATAATTTCATTTTTCTACACTTTCGGTGTATAAATCTGATAATACTTTCTTATTATTTTTCATAGTTACTTTCATCACAATTAATATATTATACTTTACTTATCTGTCCACCTGACCACTACTAAAACTAAACAGCCACTACATAAAGTAGGCTATTCTTAGTAGTATACATGCTGCACTGCAATACTGCGCTCAATGGGTTCTGCATACGTACTACACACACATCTTTACATTACGCATACGAAGCACTTTTCTGATATACACGCCTTAGAGCTTTTAACATATGTTTGCTTTATTATTCACACTGCGTATATGAGGCGCATTACTGACCTATCCCACTTTTCTAGCTTCAATTCACGCTCGCCTAGGTCATTCACCTATTTACACGCTTGCTGGAACTCTTATACTAAAATGCTCTCCGTTTATTCTCTCACGAGTGTCTTATTTCTGTCTCCCTTATTTAAAGTATTGTCGTTCTTTTCACACGCCTACAAGTCAGAGCTTTCATTTCCCCTTTTTTCATCGCGGGCAACTTTTTATTGTAATATTTTTATTGCAACTCTCTGCAGCTACTAAATAAATTATACAAATACAACTCTAATTAATTAATTTTTTCATCTCATGTAGTATTTCCTTTATCTACTCGATTTTTTCTACATCTAAAGTAAACTCAGAATTTTTCAAATTTACCGCCAACCTTCTTCTTCGCTCTGAAATACGGCGTGTTGACATTCTTTTCGCTCCTATGTTCTTACGCATTGTCTAACGTTGTTCTGTCTCGTGTGGAGTGCCGGTGTATACCACGGCAACACTACATCAGTAATTTAAATTCTGATAAACTTTATACACTTATACGCTGAATTATTGTGGATTAGATTCGCCGACTGCATGGTAACTGTGCACATCATGTCTCAGTCGCGAACTTGTCCAACAATTATTTTGTATTTATTACAGAACTTCGATTTTGCCAGTATGTTTTTTCCCTATCTTAAACTTCTGTCGCCTGATCTTGTCTGCTGGCCAGTTTGGTTCTGTGCGGCATGTATTTGTATAAAAATTTGTTATGTTACCTACATTTTAGTATGTTTAACATAACATTGTTAAACTTCCTATGGTCAATTGAGCAACCTGCAATCCTTGATTATTTAATTTTATTATTCATACCAAAATTATTTACCTTGCATCTAAATTTCACTAAATCACATAGTATGCTTCGAAAAATTTCTTTTCATAGCCTTGTACTATGTCTTCGATTCATGTTGCTCCTTGATCTAATGGAGGTTTTTCGTGCTTGGAGGGACCCAGACCCGTGTATGGTGTGAATTTTTTACTCTATACAGCTGGATTCTGGGCCCTTCTTCGCCCCTCTACCATCTATGGGCGGTTATGCCGACTGGTGCTCTGATATGCTGCCTCGAGCAGCGATATAAATGAGCGCTTCTTGGCCATGGTCGCTCAAAACTCTTCTATTTCCTGGGTCTATAATTCTTCTTTATCACTATGAATAACCTATATACTCTCTTTTCTTTATCTATTCTTTATAATATTATTCTCTTTTTGTCAAAGAGTAACCTATCAGTATGAGCGAAGTGTTTTAAGCCCCGCTCTAATAAATTAATTCTGCTCAATTTGAGTGTGTCTTTCGAGCTTTATGTTAATGAGCTTTATTTTTAACGGCAGTTTTCCACTGGTACACCCAGAATCCAGTTTTAATAGCCTATGTTTTCTGTCTCAACCCTCAGTCGGGTTATTCATACTAGACACGAATGTGCTTTTCGCTGCGCTTAAACAAATTTTTATAATCTCAATTAAAGAAAATCTTAACAGAAAGTACTCTGTCGTATTGCTTTATAGTGCCGTGTTTTCTTCTCCAAGTGTCCTTGCGCGCCTGGTGTCATCCTGTTGCTGTGGGGGCCGTGTCTCCTGTTTGGTCGCGGCGGCTGGAGGTGTCAGCTAGCTCAGCTGCTTGTCCATGCTACTGGTCGCTTAGGTTGGCCACGTGTCCCTCTTCAGCGGTGTCACACCTGGCGTCTGCGGGACTGCCTGGTTTTGTGCGGGTGTGCGGTTGCTACACTGACCCACACCTCTCCAGTTAATTTGGTAACGTGCCTTTCTTCTCTACTAACCAAATACTAATTATTCCGACTTCTCAGCCTTGAAATAACTTTCGCTGCGTATTACCTGTGATGATATACTGCGCTCTTCACCATGGATCTGTCTGCCGCTATGTGTCCCCACACCAATTTTGGATTTATATCGAATGATGGCTAAATGGCCATTACTCATGCTGCTTCTGGACGCAACGTGTGACCCAGATTGTACACATTACTGTCATCTCGTCTGCAGTTTGGAAATCATCTTGGTGACCTGTTCCAATCACCTATTTTGTTATATGGCAGGGCTGCTGTCTTCCTGTTGGATGTTGCTGCAACGCGGGACAAATATTGATTTATTGCGGATATATTTATCCCAACGATACTTCTCAAACGCCTTGATGCAGGAAATTCGGACCCAACCTCGCTACAAATAGACAAACATTCATACAGTAAATATTACAAATTACTTAAATCAATCATCCATAACCATACACAACATTCATAACTGCATTTAAATACCGCAATACATAATAACTAATTCATTTTTCATACAAGTATATCATCGGCTATATAACCTTTTTATTTTCACCACATAATCAAAATATAAACAAAATATATTGGCTTTTAAATTCACATACAAATTAATTCACCTAATTTTTAATCTTATCACAATAATCATCTGCCTGGAGCCCGGATCTCTCATCCCTGTAACCAATGTTCGCAAAATTATGGACACACGCGACCTCGGAAGGGACGCCCATACTCCTTACGCTTGGTGTTACATCCTCCTCCATTAATTCCTGACGTTCGCAAATTTATTAATGCATCATGGTCCGGACAATTCGTCGACATTTCTGCTTCTCGTTAGTTAAAAAAAAAAAACCTACAAAGTAAATATTAATTTGCTTATAAATTACTTACACTATATTACATACTATAACTAATATCATATTACCTTATACAACTTTACATTTAAACTCATACATTTATACAATCAAAACGCATATTTACAAAATCTCATCACGTAATAGAAACACACATTTACACAACTCATCACATTTACACAATGCATCACTTTATAAAATACAAACCACAATAACTAACTTAAACCAACACTCTGTAATTGATAAACCAGTCACACATTTAATAACTATTTATATCTCCCGCTAAAACCTACAAAGCAAATATAAATTTGCTTATAAATTATTTACATTAATACACATACCATAATTAATACTATATTATTTCACACAATTCTACAATTTAAAATTTATACACCTAATTAAATCGTATATTTACATAACTTCATAGAAACACACATTTACACAACTCATCACATTTACACAATGCATCACTTCATAAAATACAAACCACAATAACTAACTTAAATCACCACTCTGTAATTGATAAACCAGTCACACATTTAATAACTATTTATATCTCCCGCTAAAACCTACAAAGCAAACATAAATTTGCTTATAAATTATTTACATTAATACACATACCATAATTAATACTATATTATTTCACACAATTCTACAATTTAAAATTTATACACCTAATTAAATCGTATATTTACATAACTTCATCACTCAATGGAAACGCATATTCACACAAGTCCACATTTTATAAATTTGAAACCACAAATAATTAACTTAAAACAAAACACACTATAATTTACAAACTAGTCACCAATTTAATTACTTATTTACATTCCCCGCAAAAATTTACAAAGCAATCATAATTTTGCCTATAAAATCTACATACTATAACAAACACTATATCATTTCCACACAACTTCACAATTAATTACATGTATCTAATCAAAACACACATTAAATAAAATTCCATCATCGAATAATTAATTACACACACTTAACGAAATCACACATCTACACAATTCTTCATTTCATAAATTAAAAGCCACAATAACTAACTCAAAATAATCACATTTCACTTAATAAACTGTCAAGCCAATATAATAACAATAATCTATAGTTGCATAATTCATTATATCAAATAGCCCATAACATCATAAAACAAGCCTTATAAATATTATAAAATTACAACAAAAATTCCTAATAACGCACATCATAAATCAATCATTAATCCATAAATTTTTCAAACCACATAAAGTAAACAATAATATAAATAATTCATTTATACGCACATTATTCTTCAATCCTGTCGTACTGGGTCCTGGACTCCTACCCTACACACACATCATTCCGTCTACACACACTTCTCTGCACACATTGCTACACTCATGCCGATTCACACCTTATAATATACTCATCATCAAACAGCACACTCTACCATAAATCACACATCTTTATTGTTTCTTCAGGATTTATCCTCCATATAACTAAAACACTAATTAGTTCTTCATTTTACTTCCCAAACTTTAATAATGGACTAACCTGGCGGCTTCTCACAAGATCGTTTACTTTGGCACAATCATCCCCGGACTTGGACATCATTCAGCCTCGGAACTTCTGCAGCACTAACTTAGAATCTACTTTAATTTATAAACATTGTTCCATTGTCATAGTCTATAAGCCCACATTTATTGTTACTAGCAACGTATACATACATATTATTTTGTTAAACTTACACCTCACACTTAAAAAAAGCCTGAGCCACACGCATTTCAAAATATTGTCTTATATAATTTTCAAAATGAAACAATTTAATTTTTTCATTTCAATGTAATAGCTTTTATTTTTTACTTTATAAACTACATTTACTATTCTTAAGTCCAAAATTTTGTCTTATATATTTTGTTAAAATTCTTTAAAAATATCACATTTACTTATCACACTAAATTTAAATATTGCACATCATATCACACAAATTTAATTATTTTTTATATACTTTTATACCACTATTTGTGCAACATTCACAATTTAACTTGCATTTGCTTACCACATTATACTTATATATTGCACACCATATCACATAAATTTAATTATATATATACCATATTATACTACTTTTGCACAACATTCATAAATCTAACATGTACTGCTTATCACATAGTAATCAAATATTGCACATTGTATCATTTAAATTTAACTACATTTATACTATACTATTATGCAACTATGTACAACACTCACAAACTTAATGTACCATTTGGTGCCCCCAAGAGGGAAGGGGTACCTAATCATCACTGCTTCGGATTCTCCCCGCATTCCCTCCACTCTTCTAAAAGGGAAGGATTAAGACAAATTTAAATGTTGCTGCCTCCTATCACTGCACACTCTTGGCTGTAATTGGGATTAGTATTTAATTTTAGATTAAGTTTGTTGTACCCATTTCTCGGCCTTGTGCGCCATAATAAACGATATAAAAAAAAAAAAAAAAGGCTGTAATTGGGATTAGTATTTAATTTTAGATTAAGTTTGTTGTACCCATTTCTCGGCCTTGTGCGCCATAATAAACGATATAAAAAAAAAAAAATATTCTCTTTTGTCAAAGAGTAACCTATCAGTATGAGCGAAGGTAGGTTTTAAGCCCCGCTCTAATAAATTAATTCTGCTCAATTTGAGTGTGTCTTCGAGCTTTATGTTAATGAGCTTTATTTTTAACGGCAGTTTTCCACTGGTACAACCCAGAATCCAGTTTTAATAGCCTATGTTTCTGTCTCAACCCTCAGTCGGGTTATTCATACTAGACACGAATGTGCTTTTCGCTGCGCTTAAACAAATTTTTATAATCTCAATTAAAGAAAATCTTAACAGAAAGTACTCTGTCGTATTGCTTTTATAGTGCCGTGTTTTCTTCTCCAAGTGTCCTTGCGCGCCTGGTGTCATCCTGTTGCTGTGGGGGCCGTGTCTCCTGTTTGGTCGCGGCGGCTGGAGGTGTCAGCTAGCTCAGCTGCTTGTCCATGCTGCTGGTCGCTTAGGCTGGCCACGTGTCCCTTTTTCAACAGTATTACACTAGTGTTGGTAGGATTGCATGGGTGTGAGTGCGTGCCTATACTGTCATTACGTGTTTTCGATTTGACCTTGATTTGTCTTGACCTATTGTGTCTTGACCTTCATCTATCTTGACCTTCATTTGTCTCGTTAATTTTTCATTCTTATTTATTTTCATTCTTATTTATTTTCATTCTTATTCATTAATTTTTATTCATTTTTCAAATTTTTCACAGCTTTTCCACAGCTTTGACAAAAATTTTTTTGACTTTCTGTCTGATCTTGTGCATTGGCTGCCCGTGCGTTTGAACTTTCCCCTGCCTGGTTATTCTGGCCGTGTCGATTTTCTGGCTGCTGCAGTGCGTGGGTGCTGGATTTGTTTCTCCTTTGTGGGTCAGGTCTGGTAAGTTCGCGCTGTTTGTGGCCATACTTCTGCACGTGCTTGGGCCCGGTGGTGGATTTTCTTCTTGTGTGGTGTGGCCCTTAGCATTAAGGTTAGTACTACAGTGTCATCCTTGTTTTTTGCAAATTTAATTATCCGATGAATAACTCGACTCTAAGCTTTGACCATTAAATAAATTTCTTCTATACTAATCTCCATACTTTTTCCTTTTTCTAAAGATGAATCAAGATAGATCCAAGTTAACGGCGGCTAAGCCTAAAAGAAGTCCAAAGGGGCCTCCCTTGGTTACTTCTAATGTCCTCTTGTGTGCCGGAAGTTCCAAGCCCACTTCACTTTCACCATCTCCAAAGAAGGACACTAGCAAACATGAACCTTCTAGTTCTACTCCAAAGAAGGTTTTTCACCCAGTTATTAATTCCACAACCGTGGTTCGGCGTTCAGGTGATCTCCATATTCCCGTCAAGCCCTATAATCCATCTGTGGAGGAGGCGGCAAACCTGGGTAGCAACACGGCATCGCTTTATAAGCGTGCCAATGCACCCCATACTTCGCCAAAAACACGACGCGTCCGTTCCAGTGCTGCTGTGCGACGTACCTCTGCCTCGGCAAGGGCCGCTCAGCACGACACTCAAAGGCGCGATGCCCAGGATCAAACCAGGCCAGACCTCATTGAATTGGAAAGTGACGAGGGAGACCTTGACAGTGACTCGTCCCATATGGAAGGCTCGAGTGCTCCTCCTACTACACCACCAAACCAGCATACTTCTATACAAAATGAAGTTGCGGAGCCTACTCCCTCACAGTCCGACTTGGAGAACCAGGGTAAGCCAAATTTTGCTCTTATTTTCTCTGGAAAGCCCCCACCCATTCAGGTAGAATGCGATGATGCCTCAATATTGCTCACTTCCTTGTCAAATGTGGTATTGCCGACCATGTTTCTTTTAAAAATGGGCACTTTGGGCAATGTTTGGGTGCACTCCAAGGCTCCTGACGAATACAGGAAAATTATTCATTTTCTTGATGCTAATGATTTTCGGTATCACACCCATCAGCCAAAAGAACTCAGGCCCCTTCGTGTGTACGTCAGAGGCTTACCGCGTGCTACCCCTCCTAAACATATAATTGACTCGTTAACTGATCAGGGTTTTGATATAGTGAGTGTTCACAACCCTACCTTTGTTGACAAACGCAAACCTGATCAGGCTGTGAAATTCTCTCCAAATGCATTTTTTGTTAATCTTCTTAACACTCCCAAAAACGAGAGAATTTTCCAAATCAAGAACATTGGTAATTATATTGTCCGTGTTGAGGCAACAAACAAAAATCTTGATATACCGCAGTGTAAGCGATGTCAACGCTTTGAACACACCGCAAAATTTTGCAAACATAATCCCAAGTGTGTTAAATGTGGGAATGACCACTTGTCAGCCACCTGCACAAAACACATTGATACACTTCCCACATGTGCTAATTGCAATGGCTCTCATACAGCCAATTATTCTGGTTGCCCTATTTTAGCGGCACTAAAAGCCAGACGTAACAAATTCCATCAGCTTCCGGCTCGAACTCGTGCACTGCAACTTGCATCAGCTCCACTTAGACAGGCCGATTTTCCTCCTCCGCCCAATCCATCAAAGGCCAGGCAAAATATTGAAACAGCAGATGGATCTTTCAATACGGAATTTACTAATTTCGTTAAAAAAAACCCTACTCCACCAGCAGAAGGCAGCCTTAAAAAACCGGTAGCGCAGCCTACAACATATGCCGACATGGTACGCTCCCTTAGTACCAAACATATTCTTGCGGATATTCCGTCCCAATGGCAAGGGGAAAAAATTCCAAGAATACTGGGAAAAACTGCAAATATCCCTTCAACTTCACAAACGGTACGCTCTCAGCAAATCCCCACAGTCTCAAACCAGAGAGACGGTCCCCAAACCGAGTCTCCTACTACAAACTTTTTAAATCTTCCTGAAAAAGAATTCAGAACTTACGTTTCGAACAGTTTTGATTACATGCAGTATCAAATTACCTGCTTTCAAAATCAGCTAAAGGCCTCCTTTGCCAGGATGGAGCAGCTGGTTCTCTCGCTTTCCAATCACAATGAATAACACAATCAGATTGTCAATTTGGAATTCAAACGGCATTCGCCGCAAGTTCCACGATATTGAACTTTTTCTTATAAGCAACAATATTGACATTATGTTAATTTCGGAGATTAAACTCTCCTCCAACATTACAACTTCGATTCCTGGCTATGATCTTCTTTTCGCTTTTAACCAAAATACTCGGTCTGCTGCTGGTGGTTCGGCTATCATTATTTCTAAAAAAATTCCTTATCAGCCTCTCCCCCCAATTTCGGAAGAGCATTCTCACATTTGCCGCATTGTAATAAATACTTACATCGGTTTTATCACTATTGCCTCCTGCTATTGGCCACCTAATCAATTGGTTTCACATTTGTTTTTCTCAACACTTTTTAACCAACTTGGCGACAAATTTTTCATTGGAGGCGATTGGAACGCCAAACACCGATTGTGGGGCAACTTTCGAAGCTGCCCGCGCGGCTCAGCTTTAGCTGACATTATTCTATCTTCTGAAAGATTAAATATTCTTTCTACAGCCGAGCCCACTCATTTTCCACGTAGTGGCGCTACACCGTCTGTATTGGATTTTGCTGTAACTCGAAATATTCCACATTCCTTAATGAGCATCAGTAGGCACTTTGATTTAACAAGTGATCACCTCCCACTCATCGCCACTTTAAAATTTGGATTATCATCAATATCTCTCCCCCCAGATACTGATCTAACTGCAAACTCGAAACTTTTCACAAAAAATACCAATGTTAAAAATTTCAAAACTCTTCTCAATAATTGTATCCATTTAAATATGGACATCAATACAATTAATGATATAGAGGATGCAATTAACATTTTTACAGCAAAAATTCGTTCTTGTGCCATCGCAGCCACACCGACTTATAGCCCGTTCCCTTCTCATCAAATATTTTATCGGCCTCCTTTAAAAGCCGAAGCCCTCGAGCTGGCTCGCCTAAAACGTCAATTGAGAAAACTTTATACTCGCTCTCGATCTCCAGTTCACAAATCGGATTGGCTATTTGTTTCACGCATACTTTCCAACTTCCTTAGACGAATTCGAGCGGATCACTTTAATTTTATTTTACAAAACGCCGATCCGTCCAAAAAAGGTGGTTTTAACCTGTGGCGCGCCACTAAACACCTTAAAACACAGCCTCATATGGTCGCTCCTATTAAGGATGCCGCTGGCAATTGGTGCACTGCGCCCTTGGAAGTTGCCGAGGCTTTTGCTAACGAATTGGAAGCTCGCTTCACTCCACTAGATTTTGCCTCTAGTGCGCAAACAGAACATGTATTAAATACAATCGATGATAACTCTGCTGTAACTGCATCACCCGTTCCCATCCGTCATGTCAGTCCGTCTGAATTAACAAATCACATAGCAAGTTTAAAGATCAAAAAAGCCCCCGGCTTAGATAATATTACTAACCAAATTTTACGTTGCCTGCCTCAAAGGGCTATCATGTTTTTAGTTAAACTCTTTAACGTTATGCTGAGGCTGCGATATTTTCCATCATGCTGGAAATGCGCAGCTGTTACCATGATACCCAAGTCTGGTCGTTCCCTAAGTCAATTAAAAGACTATAGACCTATTAGTTTACTACCCGCTCTTTCCAAACTATTCGAAATTGTCATGTCCGTCCGATTATACGATATTCTTGATTTTAGTAATACTATACCTGATCACCAGTTTGGCTTCCGTAAGGAGCATAGTACTATCCAGCAAGTACATCGCATTGTGAATCATGTTCATTGTACTTTTGACCGTTACCAATATACCTCGGCTGTTTTTCTTGATATTGAACAGGCATTCGATCGTGTGTGGCATAGCGGCCTTCTATTTAAACTAAAAGCGATATTGCCCCAATCATTATACGAGCTTTTCGTTTCCTATTTATCAAATCGCTCCTTCTGTGTTAAAGAGAGGGGTAGCTTTTCATCTGTACGTCAAATTCGAGCCGGTGTCCCGCAGGGAAGCATCCTCGCACCTACCCTCTATAATGTCTTTGTTAGTGACATGCCAACTCCGCAACTTCCTAGACTTTGTCGTAGTAGATCACTCATTGCCACATATGCGGATGATACTGCAATATTATTCAGCGACGCTAATGCTTCTGTATGCGTCAGTCTAATGAATAATTTCCTCGTCACCTTTTCCAACTGGGCAAGGTCTTGGAATATCAAGATAAACTGTAGGAAATCATCCCACATGCACTTTACATGGCGGAATCTCCGTATGTCCGACGTAAGATTAGATAATGTAGTCATACCATTGAAATCATCAGTCGTATATCTGGGCTTAAAACTAGATAGAAAACTATTATGGAACAGTCATATTGGTACTATTAGATCGTCACTTATAACTAAAGTACGTAAATATAATTGGCTTCTAAACTCACGTTCTCGCCTCAGCATTCGAAATAAATTGCTTATTTATAATCAGATTATTGCGCCATCATACAAATATGGAATTGAACTATGGGGCTGTGCCGCAGATGTTCATATTAGAAAAATTCAAACCATACAAAATTCTACTTTACGTCGCTGTACAAACGCTACTCCATTCGTGAGAAACTCCGATATTCATAATGCTTTTAACATTGCTACGGTTTGGGATCAAATTAATCTCCATGCGAGCAGATATAAGGAAAAAATTCGTACGCATGAAAATGTCCTCGTTCGGGGATTACTTTCTTTAGCACCTGGTAATGGTCCACCAAATCGCTATCGACCTAAGAATTTATCAGACAGAGTCCCTCCACCCAATGTTTTCCAATAAATTCTCTATATCAGTCATTTCCTATTATATTTATACTCTTATTATGCATTAAGCATACATATATGGTATAATTACATCTATACGTTTATTTAATTACATGAAATTTTATAATTTCATTTTTCTACACTTTCGGTGTATAAATCTGATAATACTTTCTTATTATTTTTCATAGTTACTTTCATCACAATTAATATATTATACTTTACTTATCTGTCCACCTGACCACTACTAAAACTAAACAGCCACTACATAAAGTAGGCTATTCTTAGTAGTATACATGCTGCACTGCAATACTGCGCTCAATGGGTTCTGCATACGTACTACACACACATCTTTACATTACGCATACGAAGCACTTTTCTGATATACACGCCTTAGAGCTTTTAACATATGTTTGCTTTATTATTCACACTGCGTATATGAGGCGCATTACTGACCTATCCCACTTTTCTAGCTTCAATTCACGCTCGCCTAGGTCATTCACCTATTTACACGCTTGCTGGAACTCTTATACTAAAATGCTCTCCGTTTATTCTCTCACGAGTGTCTTATTTCTGTCTCCCTTATTTAAAGTATTGTCGTTCTTTTCACACGCCTACAAGTCAGAGCTTTCATTTCCCCTTTTTTCATCGCGGGCAACTTTTTATTGTAATATTTTTATTGCAACTCTCTGCAGCTACTAAATAAATTATACAAATACAACTCTAATTAATTAATTTTTTCACCTCATGTAGTATTTCCTTTATCTACTCGATTTTTTCTACATCTAAAGTAAACTCAGAATTTTTCAAATTTACCGCCAACCTTCTTCTTCGCTCTGAAATACGGCGTGTTGACATTCTTTTCGCTCCTATGTTCTTACGCATTGTCAACGTTGTTCTGTCTCGTGTGGAGTGCCGGTGTATACCACGGCAACACTACATCAGTAATTTAAATTCTGATAAACTTTATACACTTATACGCTGAATTATTGTGGATTAGATTCGCCGACTGCATGGTAACTGTGCACATCATGTCTCAGTCGCGAACTTGTCCAACAATTATTTTGTATTTATTACAGAACTTCGATTTTGCCAGTATGTTTTTTCCCTATCTTAAACTTCTGTCGCCTGATCTTGTCTGCTGGCCAGTTTGGTTCTGTGCGGCATGTATTTGTATAAAAATTTGTTATGTTACCTACATTTTAGTATGTTTAACATAACATTGTTAAACTTCCTATGGTCAATTGAGCAACCTGCAATCCTTGATTATTTAATTTTATTATTCATACCAAAATTATTTACCTTGCATCTAAATTTCACTAAATCACATAGTATGCTTCGAAAAATTTCTTTTCATAGCCTTGTACTATGTCTTCGATTCATGTTGCTCCTTGATCTAATGGAGGTTTTTCGTGCTTGGAGGGACCCAGACCCGTGTATGGTGTGAATTTTTTACTCTATACAGCTGGATTCTGGGCCCTTCTTCGCCCCTCTACCATCTATGGGCGGTTATGCCGACTGGTGCTCTGATATGCTGCCTCGAGCAGCGATATAAATGAGCGCTTCTTGGCCATGGTCGCTCAAAACTCTTCTATTTCCTGGGTCTATAATTCTTCTTTATCACTATGAATAACCTATATACTCTCTTTTCTTTATCTATTCTTTATAATATTATTCTCTTTTTGTCAAAGAGTAACCTATCAGTATGAGCGAAGTGTTTTAAGCCCCGCTCTAATAAATTAATTCTGCTCAATTTGAGTGTGTCTTTCGAGCTTTATGTTAATGAGCTTTATTTTTAACGGCAGTTTTCCACTGGTACACCCAGAATCCAGTTTTAATAGCCTATGTTTTCTGTCTCAACCCTCAGTCGGGTTATTCATACTAGACACGAATGTGCTTTTCGCTGCGCTTAAACAAATTTTTATAATCTCAATTAAAGAAAATCTTAACAGAAAGTACTCTGTCGTATTGCTTTTATAGTGCCGTGTTTTCTTCTCCAAGTGTCCTTGCGCGCCTGGTGTCATCCTGTTGCTGTGGGGGCCGTGTCTCCTGTTTGGTCGCGGCGGCTGGAGGTGTCAGCTAGCTCAGCTGCTTGTCCATGCTACTGGTCGCTTAGGTTGGCCACGTGTCCCTCTTCAGCGGTGTCACACCTGGCGTCTGCGGGACTGCCTGGTTTTGTGCGGGTGTGCGGTTGCTACACTGACCCACACCTCTCCAGTTAATTTGGTAACGTGCCTTTCTTCTCTACTAACCAAATACTAATTATTCCGACTTCTCAGCCTTGAAATAACTTTCGCTGCGTATTACCTGTGATGATATACTGCGCTCTTCACCATGGATCTGTCTGCCGCTATGTGTCCCCACACCAATTTTGGATTTATATCGAATGATGGCTAAATGGCCATTACTCATGCTGCTTCTGGACGCAACGTGTGACCCAGATTGTACACATTACTGTCATCTCGTCTGCAGTTTGGAAATCATCTTGGTGACCTGTTCCAATCACCTATTTTGTTATATGGCAGGGCTGCTGTCTTCCTGTTGGATGTTGCTGCAACGCGGGACAAATATTGATTTATTGCGGATATATTTATCCCAACGATACTTCTCAAACGCCTTGATGCAGGAAATTCGGACCCAACCTCGCTACAAATAGACAAACATTCATACAGTAAATATTACAAATTACTTAAATCAATCATCCATAACCATACACAACATTCATAACTGCATTTAAATACCGCAATACATAATAACTAATTCATTTTTCATACAAGTATATCATCGGCTATATAACCTTTTTATTTTCACCACATAATCAAAATATAAACAAAATATATTGGCTTTTAAATTCACATACAAATTAATTCACCTAATTTTTAATCTTATCACAATAATCATCTGCCTGGAGCCCGGATCTCTCATCCCTGTAACCAATGTTCGCAAAATTATGGACACACGCGACCTCGGAAGGGACGCCCATACTCCTTACGCTTGGTGTTACATCCTCCTCCATTAATTCCTGACGTTCGCAAATTTATTAATGCATCATGGTCCGGACAATTCGTCGACATTTCTGCTTCTCGTTAGTTAAAAAAAAAAAACCTACAAAGTAAATATTAATTTGCTTATAAATTACTTACACTATATTACATACTATAACTAATATCATATTACCTTATACAACTTTACATTTAAACTCATACATTTATACAATCAAAACGCATATTTACAAAATCTCATCACGTAATAGAAACACACATTTACACAACTCATCACATTTACACAATGCATCACTTTATAAAATACAAACCACAATAACTAACTTAAACCAACACTCTGTAATTGATAAACCAGTCACACATTTAATAACTATTTATATCTCCCGCTAAAACCTACAAAGCAAATATAAATTTGCTTATAAATTATTTACATTAATACACATACCATAATTAATACTATATTATTTCACACAATTCTACAATTTAAAATTTATACACCTAATTAAATCGTATATTTACATAACTTCATAGAAACACACATTTACACAACTCATCACATTTACACAATGCATCACTTCATAAAATACAAACCACAATAACTAACTTAAATCACCACTCTGTAATTGATAAACCAGTCACACATTTAATAACTATTTATATCTCCCGCTAAAACCTACAAAGCAAACATAAATTTGCTTATAAATTATTTACATTAATACACATACCATAATTAATACTATATTATTTCACACAATTCTACAATTTAAAATTTATACACCTAATTAAATCGTATATTTACATAACTTCATCACTCAATGGAAACGCATATTCACACAAGTCCACATTTTATAAATTTGAAACCACAAATAATTAACTTAAAACAAAACACACTATAATTTACAAACTAGTCACCAATTTAATTACTTATTTACATTCCCCGCAAAAATTTACAAAGCAATCATAATTTTGCCTATAAAATCTACATACTATAACAAACACTATCATTTCCACACAACTTCACAATTAATTACATGTATCTAATCAAAACACACATTAAATAAAATTCCATCATCGAATAATTAATTACACACACTTAACGAAAGCACACATCTACACAATTCTTCATTTCATAAATTAAAAGCCACAATAACTAACTCAAAATAATCACATTTCACTTAATAAACTGTCAAGCCAATATAATAACAATAATCTATAGTTGCATAATTCATTATATCAAATAGCCCATAACATCATAAAACAAGCCTTATAAATATTATAAAATTACAACAAAAATTTCCTAATAACGCACATCATAAATCAATCATTAATCCATAAATTTTTCAAACCACATAAAGTAAACAATAATATAAATAATTCATTTATACGCACATTATTCTTCAATCCTGTCGTACTGGGTCCTGGACTCCTACCCTACACACACATCATTCCGTCTACACACACTTCTCTGCACACATTGCTACACTCATGCCGATTCACACCTTATAATATACTCATCATCAAACAGCACACTCTACCATAAATCACACATCTTTATTGTTTCTCAGGATTTATCCTCCATATAACAAAACACTAATTAGTTCTTCATTTTACTTCCCAAACTTTAATAATGGACTAACTGGCGGCTTCTCACAAGATCGTTTCTTTTGGCACATCATCCCCGGACTTGGACATCATTCAGCCTCGGAACTTCTGCAGCACTAACTTAGAATCTACTTTAATTTATAAACATTGTTCCATTGTCATAGTCTATAAGCCCACATTTATTGTTACTAGCAACGTATACATACATATTATTTTGTTAAACTTACACCTCACACTTAAAAAAAAGCCTGAGCCACACGCATTTCAAAATATTGTCTTATATAATTTTCAAAATGAAACAATTTAATTTTTCATTTCAATGTAATAGCTTTTATTTTTTACTTTATAAACTACATTTACTATTCTTAAGTCCAAAAATTTTGTCTTATATATTTTGTTAAAATTCTTTAAAAATATCACATTTACTTATCACACTAAATTTAAATATTGCACATCATATCACACAAATTTAATTATTTTTTATATACTTTTATACCACTATTTGTGCAACATTCACAATTTAACTTGCATTTGCTTACCACATTATACTTATATATTGCACACCATATCACATAAATTTAATTATATATATACCATATTATACTACTTTTGCACAACATTCATAAATCTAACATGTACTGCTTATCACATAGTAATCAAATATTGCACATTGTATCATTTAAATTTAACTACATTTATACTATACTATTATGCAACTATGTACAACACTCACAAACTTAATGTACCATTTGGTGCCCCCAAGAGGGAAGGGGTACCTAATCATCACTGCTTCGGATTCTCCCCGCATTCCCTCCACTCTTTTAAAAGGGAAGGATTAAGACAAATTTAAATGTCGCTGCCTCCTATCACTGCACACTCTTGGCTGAAATTGGGATTAGTATTTAATTTTAGATTAAGTTTGTTGTACCCATTTCTCGGCCTTGTGCGCCATAATAAACGATATAAAAAAAGAAATAATATTATTCTCTTTTTTGTCAAAGAGTAACCTATCAGTATGAGCGAAGTGTTTTAAGCCCCGCTCTAATAAATTAATTCTGCTCAATTTGAGTGTGTCTTTCGAGCTTTATGTTAATGAGCTTTATTTTTAACGGCAGTTTTCCACTGGTACACCCAGAATCCAGTTTTAATAGCCTATGTTTTCTGTCTCAACCCTCAGTCGGGTTATTCATACTAGACACGAATGTGCTTTTCGCTGCGCTTAAACAAATTTTTATAATCTCAATTAAAGAAAATCTTAACAGAAAGTACTCTGTCGTATTGCTTCTATAGTGCCGTGTTTTTTTCTCCAAGTGTCCTTGCGCGCCTGGTGTCATCCTGTTGCTGTGGGGGCCGTGTCTCCTGTTTGGTCGCGGCGGCTGGAGGTGTCAGCTAGCTCAGCTGCTTGTCCATGCTGCTGGTCGCTTAGGCTGGCCACGTGTCCCTTTTTCAACAGTATTACACTAGTGTTGGTAGGATTGCATGGGTGTGAGTGCGTGCCTATACTGTCATTACGTGTTTTCGATTTGACCTTGATTTGTCTTGACCTATTGTGTCTTGACCTTCATCTATCTTGACCTTCATTTGTCTCGTTAATTTTTCATTCTTATTTATTTTCATTCTTATTTATTTTCATTCTTATTCATTAATTTTTATTCATTTTTCAAATTTTTCACAGCTTTTCCACAGCTTTGACAAAAATTTTTTGACTTTCTGTCTGATCTTGTGCATTGGCTGCCCGTGCGTTTGAACTTTCCCCTGCCTGGTTATTCTGGCCGTGTCGATTTTCTGGCTGCTGCAGTGCGTGGGTGCTGGATTTGTTTCTCCTTTGTGGGTCAGGTCTGGTAAGTTCGCGCTGTTTGTGGCCATACTTCTGCACGTGCTTGGGCCCGGTGGTGGATTTTCTTCTTGTGTGGTGTGGCCCTTAGCATTAAGGTTAGTACTACAGTGTCATCCTTGTTTTTTGCAAATTTAATTATCCGATGAATAACTCGACTCTAAGCTTTGACCATTAAATAAATTTCTTCTATACTAATCTCCATACTTTTTCCTTTTTCTAAAGATGAATCAAGATAGATCCAAGTTAACGGCGGCTAAGCCTAAAAGAAGTCCAAAGGGGCCTCCCTTGGTTACTTCTAATGTCCTCTTGTGTGCCGGAAGTTCCAAGCCCACTTCACTTTCACCATCTCCAAAGAAGGACACTAGCAAACATGAACCTTCTAGTTCTACTCCAAAGAAGGTTTTTCACCCAGTTATTAATTCCACAACCGTGGTTCGGCGTTCAGGTGATCTCCATATTCCCGTCAAGCCCTATAATCCATCTGTGGAGGAGGCGGCAAACCTGGGTAGCAACACGGCATCGCTTTATAAGCGTGCCAATGCACCCCATACTTCGCCAAAAACACGACGCGTCCGTTCCAGTGCTGCTGTGCGACGTACCTCTGCCTCGGCAAGGGCCGCTCAGCACGACACTCAAAGGCGCGATGCCCAGGATCAAACCAGGCCAGACCTCATTGAATTGGAAAGTGACGAGGGAGACCTTGACAGTGACTCGTCCCATATGGAAGGCTCGAGTGCTCCTCCTACTACACCACCAAACCAGCATACTTCTATACAAAATGAAGTTGCGGAGCCTACTCCCTCACAGTCCGACTTGGAGAACCAGGGTAAGCCAAATTTTGCTCTTATTTTCTCTGGAAAGCCCCCACCCATTCAGGTAGAATGCGATGATGCCTCAATATTGCTCACTTCCTTGTCAAATGTGGTATTGCCGACCATGTTTCTTTTAAAAATGGGCACTTTGGGCAATGTTTGGGTGCACTCCAAGGCTCCTGACGAATACAGGAAAATTATTCATTTTCTTGATGCTAATGATTTTCGGTATCACACCCATCAGCCAAAAGAACTCAGGCCCCTTCGTGTGTACGTCAGAGGCTTACCGCGTGCTACCCCTCCTAAACATATAATTGACTCGTTAACTGATCAGGGTTTTGATATAGTGAGTGTTCACAACCCTACCTTTGTTGACAAACGCAAACCTGATCAGGCTGTGAAATTCTCTCCAAATGCATTTTTTGTTAATCTTCTTAACACTCCCAAAAACGAGAGAATTTTCCAAATCAAGAACATTGGTAATTATATTGTCCGTGTTGAGGCAACAAACAAAAATCTTGATATACCGCAGTGTAAGCGATGTCAACGCTTTGAACACACCGCAAAATTTTGCAAACATAATCCCAAGTGTGTTAAATGTGGGAATGACCACTTGTCAGCCACCTGCACAAAACACATTGATACACTTCCCACATGTGCTAATTGCAATGGCTCTCATACAGCCAATTATTCTGGTTGCCCTATTTTAGCGGCACTAAAAGCCAGACGTAACAAATTCCATCAGCTTCCGGCTCGAACTCGTGCACTGCAACTTGCATCAGCTCCACTTAGACAGGCCGATTTTCCTCCTCCGCCCAATCCATCAAAGGCCAGGCAAAATATTGAAACAGCAGATGGATCTTTCAATACGGAATTTACTAATTTCGTTAAAAAAAACCCTACTCCACCAGCAGAAGGCAGCCTTAAAAAACCGGTAGCGCAGCCTACAACATATGCCGACATGGTACGCTCCCTTAGTACCAAACATATTCTTGCGGATATTCCGTCCCAATGGCAAGGGGAAAAAATTCCAAGAATACTGGGAAAAACTGCAAATATCCCTTCAACTTCACAAACGGTACGCTCTCAGCAAATCCCCACAGTCTCAAACCAGAGAGACGGTCCCCAAACCGAGTCTCCTACTACAAACTTTTTAAATCTTCCTGAAAAAGAATTCAGAACTTACGTTTCGAACAGTTTTGATTACATGCAGTATCAAATTACCTGCTTTCAAAATCAGCTAAAGGCCTCCTTTGCCAGGATGGAGCAGCTGGTTCTCTCGCTTTCCAATCACAATGAATAACACAATCAGATTGTCAATTTGGAATTCAAACGGCATTCGCCGCAAGTTCCACGATATTGAACTTTTTCTTATAAGCAACAATATTGACATTATGTTAATTTCGGAGATTAAACTCTCCTCCAACATTACAACTTCGATTCCTGGCTATGATCTTCTTTTCGCTTTTAACCAAAATACTCGGTCTGCTGCTGGTGGTTCGGCTATCATTATTTCTAAAAAAATTCCTTATCAGCCTCTCCCCCCAATTTCGGAAGAGCATTCTCACATTTGCCGCATTGTAATAAATACTTACATCGGTTTTATCACTATTGCCTCCTGCTATTGGCCACCTAATCAATTGGTTTCACATTTGTTTTTCTCAACACTTTTTAACCAACTTGGCGACAAATTTTTCATTGGAGGCGATTGGAACGCCAAACACCGATTGTGGGGCAACTTTCGAAGCTGCCCGCGCGGCTCAGCTTTAGCTGACATTATTCTATCTTCTGAAAGATTAAATATTCTTTCTACAGCCGAGCCCACTCATTTTCCACGTAGTGGCGCTACACCGTCTGTATTGGATTTTGCTGTAACTCGAAATATTCCACATTCCTTAATGAGCATCAGTAGGCACTTTGATTTAACAAGTGATCACCTCCCACTCATCGCCACTTTAAAATTTGGATTATCATCAATATCTCTCCCCCCAGATACTGATCTAACTGCAAACTCGAAACTTTTCACAAAAAATACCAATGTTAAAAATTTCAAAACTCTTCTCAATAATTGTATCCATTTAAATATGGACATCAATACAATTAATGATATAGAGGATGCAATTAACATTTTTACAGCAAAAATTCGTTCTTGTGCCATCGCAGCCACACCGACTTATAGCCCGTTCCCTTCTCATCAAATATTTTATCGGCCTCCTTTAAAAGCCGAAGCCCTCGAGCTGGCTCGCCTAAAACGTCAATTGAGAAAACTTTATACTCGCTCTCGATCTCCAGTTCACAAATCGGATTGGCTATTTGTTTCACGCATACTTTCCAACTTCCTTAGACGAATTCGAGCGGATCACTTTAATTTTATTTTACAAAACGCCGATCCGTCCAAAAAAGGTGGTTTTAACCTGTGGCGCGCCACTAAACACCTTAAAACACAGCCTCATATGGTCGCTCCTATTAAGGATGCCGCTGGCAATTGGTGCACTGCGCCCTTGGAAGTTGCCGAGGCTTTTGCTAACGAATTGGAAGCTCGCTTCACTCCACTAGATTTTGCCTCTAGTGCGCAAACAGAACATGTATTAAATACAATCGATGATAACTCTGCTGTAACTGCATCACCCGTTCCCATCCGTCATGTCAGTCCGTCTGAATTAACAAATCACATAGCAAGTTTAAAGATCAAAAAAGCCCCCGGCTTAGATAATATTACTAACCAAATTTTACGTTGCCTGCCTCAAAGGGCTATCATGTTTTTAGTTAAACTCTTTAACGTTATGCTGAGGCTGCGATATTTTCCATCATGCTGGAAATGCGCAGCTGTTACCATGATACCCAAGTCTGGTCGTTCCCTAAGTCAATTAAAAGACTATAGACCTATTAGTTTACTACCCGCTCTTTCCAAACTATTCGAAATTGTCATGTCCGTCCGATTATACGATATTCTTGATTTTAGTAATACTATACCTGATCACCAGTTTGGCTTCCGTAAGGAGCATAGTACTATCCAGCAAGTACATCGCATTGTGAATCATGTTCATTGTACTTTTGACCGTTACCAATATACCTCGGCTGTTTTTCTTGATATTGAACAGGCATTCGATCGTGTGTGGCATAGCGGCCTTCTATTTAAACTAAAAGCGATATTGCCCCAATCATTATACGAGCTTTTCGTTTCCTATTTATCAAATCGCTCCTTCTGTGTTAAAGAGAGGGGTAGCTTTTCATCTGTACGTCAAATTCGAGCCGGTGTCCCGCAGGGAAGCATCCTCGCACCTACCCTCTATAATGTCTTTGTTAGTGACATGCCAACTCCGCAACTTCCTAGACTTTGTCGTAGTAGATCACTCATTGCCACATATGCGGATGATACTGCAATATTATTCAGCGACGCTAATGCTTCTGTATGCGTCAGTCTAATGAATAATTTCCTCGTCACCTTTTCCAACTGGGCAAGGTCTTGGAATATCAAGATAAACTGTAGGAAATCATCCCACATGCACTTTACATGGCGGAATCTCCGTATGTCCGACGTAAGATTAGATAATGTAGTCATACCATTGAAATCATCAGTCGTATATCTGGGCTTAAAACTAGATAGAAAACTATTATGGAACAGTCATATTGGTACTATTAGATCGTCACTTATAACTAAAGTACGTAAATATAATTGGCTTCTAAACTCACGTTCTCGCCTCAGCATTCGAAATAAATTGCTTATTTATAATCAGATTATTGCGCCATCATACAAATATGGAATTGAACTATGGGGCTGTGCCGCAGATGTTCATATTAGAAAAATTCAAACCATACAAAATTCTACTTTACGTCGCTGTACAAACGCTACTCCATTCGTGAGAAACTCCGATATTCATAATGCTTTTAACATTGCTACGGTTTGGGATCAAATTAATCTCCATGCGAGCAGATATAAGGAAAAAATTCGTACGCATGAAAATGTCCTCGTTCGGGGATTACTTTCTTTAGCACCTGGTAATGGTCCACCAAATCGCTATCGACCTAAGAATTTATCAGACAGAGTCCCTCCACCCAATGTTTTCCAATAAATTCTCTATATCAGTCATTTCCTATTATATTTATACTCTTATTATGCATTAAGCATACATATATGGTATAATTACATCTATACGTTTATTTAATTACATGAAATTTTATAATTTCATTTTTCTACACTTTCGGTGTATAAATCTGATAATACTTTCTTATTATTTTTCATAGTTACTTTCATCACAATTAATATATTATACTTTACTTATCTGTCCACCTGACCACTACTAAAACTAAACAGCCACTACATAAAGTAGGCTATTCTTAGTAGTATACATGCTGCACTGCAATACTGCGCTCAATGGGTTCTGCATACGTACTACACACACATCTTTACATTACGCATACGAAGCACTTTTCTGATATACACGCCTTAGAGCTTTTAACATATGTTTGCTTTATTATTCACACTGCGTATATGAGGCGCATTACTGACCTATCCCACTTTTCTAGCTTCAATTCACGCTCGCCTAGGTCATTCACCTATTTACACGCTTGCTGGAACTCTTATACTAAAATGCTCTCCGTTTATTCTCTCACGAGTGTCTTATTTCTGTCTCCCTTATTTAAAGTATTGTCGTTCTTTTCACACGCCTACAAGTCAGAGCTTTCATTTCCCCTTTTTTCATCGCGGGCAACTTTTTATTGTAATATTTTTATTGCAACTCTCTGCAGCTACTAAATAAATTATACAAATACAACTCTAATTAATTAATTTTTTCACCTCATGTAGTATTTCCTTTATCTACTCGATTTTTTCTACATCTAAAGTAAACTCAGAATTTTTCAAATTTACCGCCAACCTTCTTCTTCGCTCTGAAATACGGCGTGTTGACATTCTTTTCGCTCCTATGTTCTTACGCATTGTCAACGTTGTTCTGTCTCGTGTGGAGTGCCGGTGTATACCACGGCAACACTACATCAGTAATTTAAATTCTGATAAACTTTATACACTTATACGCTGAATTATTGTGGATTAGATTCGCCGACTGCATGGTAACTGTGCACATCATGTCTCAGTCGCGAACTTGTCCAACAATTATTTTGTATTTATTACAGAACTTCGATTTTGCCAGTATGTTTTTTCCCTATCTTAAACTTCTGTCGCCTGATCTTGTCTGCTGGCCAGTTTGGTTCTGTGCGGCATGTATTTGTATAAAAATTTGTTATGTTACCTACATTTTAGTATGTTTAACATAACATTGTTAAACTTCCTATGGTCAATTGAGCAACCTGCAATCCTTGATTATTTAATTTTATTATTCATACCAAAATTATTTACCTTGCATCTAAATTTCACTAAATCACATAGTATGCTTCGAAAAATTTCTTTTCATAGCCTTGTACTATGTCTTCGATTCATGTTGCTCCTTGATCTAATGGAGGTTTTTCGTGCTTGGAGGGACCCAGACCCGTGTATGGTGTGAATTTTTTACTCTATACAGCTGGATTCTGGGCCCTTCTTCGCCCCTCTACCATCTATGGGCGGTTATGCCGACTGGTGCTCTGATATGCTGCCTCGAGCAGCGATATAAATGAGCGCTTCTTGGCCATGGTCGCTCAAAACTCTTCTATTTCCTGGGTCTATAATTCTTCTTTATCACTATGAATAACCTATATACTCTCTTTTCTTTATCTATTCTTTATAATATTATTCTCTTTTTGTCAAAGAGTAACCTATCAGTATGAGCGAAGTGTTTTAAGCCCCGCTCTAATAAATTAATTCTGCTCAATTTGAGTGTGTCTTTCGAGCTTTATGTTAATGAGCTTTATTTTTAACGGCAGTTTTCCACTGGTACACCCAGAATCCAGTTTTAATAGCCTATGTTTTCTGTCTCAACCCTCAGTCGGGTTATTCATACTAGACACGAATGTGCTTTTCGCTGCGCTTAAACAAATTTTTATAATCTCAATTAAAGAAAATCTTAACAGAAAGTACTCTGTCGTATTGCTTTTATAGTGCCGTGTTTTCTTCTCCAAGTGTCCTTGCGCGCCTGGTGTCATCCTGTTGCTGTGGGGGCCGTGTCTCCTGTTTGGTCGCGGCGGCTGGAGGTGTCAGCTAGCTCAGCTGCTTGTCCATGCTACTGGTCGCTTAGGTTGGCCACGTGTCCCTCTTCAGCGGTGTCACACCTGGCGTCTGCGGGACTGCCTGGTTTTGTGCGGGTGTGCGGTTGCTACACTGACCCACACCTCTCCAGTTAATTTGGTAACGTGCCTTTCTTCTCTACTAACCAAATACTAATTATTCCGACTTCTCAGCCTTGAAATAACTTTCGCTGCGTATTACCTGTGATGATATACTGCGCTCTTCACCATGGATCTGTCTGCCGCTATGTGTCCCCACACCAATTTTGGATTTATATCGAATGATGGCTAAATGGCCATTACTCATGCTGCTTCTGGACGCAACGTGTGACCCAGATTGTACACATTACTGTCATCTCGTCTGCAGTTTGGAAATCATCTTGGTGACCTGTTCCAATCACCTATTTTGTTATATGGCAGGGCTGCTGTCTTCCTGTTGGATGTTGCTGCAACGCGGGACAAATATTGATTTATTGCGGATATATTTATCCCAACGATACTTCTCAAACGCCTTGATGCAGGAAA